CTTCCTTTAACACTGGGCTCCTGAAAAATATGAAAATCAGAAGCAGCCATGGGCCGTACCTGGGGACGAATTGTCTGAGTGAGTTGAAGAACCATGTAAGAGCCCTCACAGATACTGTTTCAGCAGAACATGGACTTGAAGGCGTTCCACATAGCAGAAGCCAATCATCCCGCCGTCTTTGCTGCTGTTTCGGGGGACGCTCAAGACCTCCAGCGCTAGCATCGCCTTGGCAGGACCCCTGCAACCACTTGCTGGCAGGTTCAATGCTCAAGCCCCATTGGTGAGACACAGCACAAGCAGCGAGAAACATAACACCGTCTAAGGCTTCTGACAAGCTTGGTCCTGCTGGCGGTTGCTGCTGATACGGCAGGTGCTGTTGTTGCTGCTTAAGCTGCCGTAGCGGCGCAGGCGGAGACACAAATGCAGCTAGAAATGAGAAGAAGGACTTGATTTCTGCTCGAGAAGGGCTATCCGTGAGAGTTGCGACATGCTGAGGCCTACATAGCAAATACAGATGCAAAAGCCCAAAGCCCCTAGCAATTCAGGATACAGGCAATAGCGAAGCTTCTTTCTATCCCATCATCTCGTGCTGATGTCAGCTTTGGGGTTGGAGAAATATTTGTGAGCGTGCATGCCGACAAAGACGTATATTTGGACACGAACATGAAGTTTTAATCTAATACTGTTCAAGTGGAGCGCACACACGCTGACGGAGCAAATCTGGCCAAGACTCTACACCTACCCGCTTGGGTGTTTCTCTAAGCTACAGTGAAAACTTTTAGCAGCGCAATCAAGGCCTTTCGCTGTGCGTGGATCAGTCACAGAGGGGCGCCGTTTCTGCCCTTCATGGAAGTTTTCCTCGACTACCTCAGGTAAGCCTTCGCCGCCTCGGCCTGAAGAAATCCTGTTAACAGCACGCCAGAGCTTCCGTCGGCATGTTGCTGTACTGCGTCCAATCGATTGGGGGTTTTCCACTCCGGGAAAGAGGGCTAACTGGCCGGAGCTTTGGAAAGTCGGGCTCGAAAAAGAAGAAGCAACGTAGCATCGGTCCTTAAAAGAGAAGGCTAAGACGAGGTGTGGCGCCCTATGCACCAGTGATAGAAGAAGCAGAATGATACACAGGCGTTTGAGCGTCCTCAGCTTCCTGGGAACTCCCCACACGGTCTTTCGGTAAGCTAAGATGCGGTGAAATCTAGCCCCTAAAAGCATAAAATGGGCCGATTTTGAGTGGTACGGCAGGCCAGATTGTCTACCGCCCCCATGCATCGTCAAGCCCAAGGATGAAGGGGCGGCGCATTCGATTCAGGATGAGACGGTGACGTAAAAGCACGTTCGACAGAGGATCACAGCTTCGAGCAAGATGGGCATTGGCATACGCTCAGCACCCCCAGCCATCTCACTGACCGTATTGTCAACGAATTGTGCTCCCAAACAAGGGGACTTGGCGCCCGAGACACTCCAGGAGAATCCTTGAACTGTGTCAGCCGTTGTGGGCTAAATGGCGACACAGTAGAGCAGTCCCGCAGCTCTGATGCATTCCTCAGGTGCATGCCTGCCACGTTGAATGATGCTGAGGTGAAGGCGTGCTAATGTTCACAAAGGCATGGAGCTTACTCCGGCTGAGGCAGTTGGTCTCCGCTCACTTCAGGGGCCGCGCCTCCAAAAAGTATGAAGAGCAGGAGAAAAATTCGCATCCCAATGAATATAAATGCAAATTGTACCTGCTCTCGTTTCAGATCCTCAAGTGTGGAGGAATCAGTGGAAGTGCTCATTTTTAGGACTGGCCCTGTTTTGAGAGAAGGGGGCCCCTCACTGCCGCCGACTTTGTCCACCCAATGCACCAGGTTGCACTGTACTCTCGACGGTTTACAACTTTCCAGGATCTTTTTAACATATTATTATACGTTTCTTGGTGGAGAGATCTCCTCACGATGAAGCGCTAAGCAGCAACAACTCTTGTCGAGCTCGCCGAGGCACCAACAGGGAACGAAGCTTTTTCTATTGTCCCTAGATGCGGACGCAAGCAGAACTTTTGTGTTCCTCAAATACATACGAGGATTGAAATGTAATGAAAACGTTTGGGCTTTCCTGTAGGGGTCACATCTGGGCGTTCGCCAGTCACAATTGATGGCGCTTCTTTGTTAAGGTCACTATGGCTGTCGTGCTGCTCTTGCTGCACTGGATCAGCATTTCCATGTCATATGCCGCCCTCTATTTTGCGCCTGTCCATTCCATGAGCATCAAAAGTCGGATACTGTCCATCTCTCGAAGTGGGAGGCCCGGAGTTCCTGCAGCTGGTAACAGTTGCCCTTCATTTCTTGCTCTGGGGTTCTGTACCAACTCCTGCGGAGCCTGCAGAGGCTGCTTTGTTCCAAATTTTTGTTCTAATGCTCCACTTCCCATCACTCAGAGAGGTTTTGTCGGCAGAACCCATATATTTGCATGTAGGCCTCGACCTAAGAAGGAAAAGGCGCGGAGAAACTACCAGATTGCGAAGCAGCAAAAGCAAGTAAGGCAGGAGCGTTTGACTCAACGTCGACAGCAGCTGGAGCTTTTTCGGGCACAACAGCGACTGCTTTCGCTTTCGGAAACAGACACGGAATCAAAGGATGGCGATGAAACTCAAAAACAGACTAGTGAAACTGGAGGCTCGTTTAGTTCAGATGGGTTCGTAGCCACAGCGGGGCCAGCAAAGCGTCAAGTTCCTGGCGGAATCAACTCCCCTCCCCCTGCCCGCATCAACTACCGTCTTGTTGGTGGGACCTGGAGAAGAGCACGCGGGCAAAGTAAGTTTGTGAGGCTCTCGGGGGCACAAATGGCAGCAGCGATTTTTCAGGGTCTCCCTGAAGACGAAGTTGCAGCTGCAGTGGCGAAGGCGAAACGCCAAGATGAGGGTTTTATGGACTTAGAGGCTTATGATGAATCGGACTCGCAGTATGCAACTCTGGAGGGAATGAACTGATGGGGCGAGTTGTCGTTCGGGGGACGAAAACGCCGATTTTTGTAGGCGTAAGATTGGAAAAACGAAACTAGGACTGTAGAGTCTAGGGGGTGCTGAAGCAGAGCAGATATTGTCTACTTGTTCCCGAAAGTCGCCCAAGCAGTCCAGAATTTCCCCGAAGTTTCGCCGACAGTAAACGGTCACTAAGCCTGCTAGCTCCTTCAACGGACCTGCACTCAGTAGTTCCTCGTGTATGCCCCCAAACAGCGCACAACTCTCAGAGCTACACATGATTTAGCCGTGACTCTTGAAATGCTGAAAGAGTTCCATCAAGGCATAATAAACGTAACAAGACATTGTGAGTCAGTGGTGACGGAAGTTTTTACATGCTCTTGTGGTTTTGATGCGTGTAACGAGCTTATCACCGATGTATCAGTCTTCGGGGTTTCCCGAACCTTAACGTACGCCAAGTGCACAGCATTATTTATGCGACGGCGGCGATCTTGCTGACGTATCAACAACCGCTATGTTGTGTCAGCGTGTCAGCATCGGCCCCGTAACCAAATTTTGGTTGATCCCGTTCTAGAAACACGAACAGATGCCTACTGTCTCTGCGTAGACTAAGCGCTTTCGCCTCTGCACGTGATTGATTGTTTGGCTTCGAAGTGCATTTGCTCCAGTATGTCCACAGAAGACAGGACACTCGGCAGCTGCGATTTTCATCTGGTCCCCTGCTTTAAAAGCGGTGGCGCAAACGTTCGCACACACGCTCAGAAGATACGGCCAGCGGTCGACTGTGGTCACAACAGCGTCACAACAGCTCAGACAACTTGGCGCTGAAAAGGCAGGGACCCAGCACGACAGTGGTCGCATTCCACCTAGTTCGTTCCACCAGCCTCACGGACAGAACACAGAATAGAAACGATGCTATGAGCGGAAAGCTCCAGAGCCATGCAGCAGGGTTGCCTTACGATATAAGGGACTAGCATCTTCAGTTGCAGCACAATTAGCCACCGAGACTCCGAAAGCGGCGGAGCCTGTGGCATAATAAGACGGTTTCTTCCGCAGATGCCCTGCACATGCATTCCGCTAGTGACGGCGGCTCAGCGTTCGTTAAATGCCACAATTGTTTTAGCATGTTTTAGTGCTCCATATTGTTCTTCTACTCATTGTCTTGAACCAGGATAAACCGCTGTGGCAGAAATGAATGTGATGTCACTATATAGGCTTATTCGTAGCAAGGAGCCATAGATCATCCCAACAGAAGTAGAACATGCTTGGTGTGTGTGTGCTATGAGCAGCCTAGCACTTCACCATTGATGAGTGCCAGGCATACTCGCCAGCCTTCGTCGGGCGGAACTATACATCTAAGAAAGGCATTAGTAGATCATGATGAGTAACACAGTGGCTATGAAGTTCTCGCGAGTTCCTTATCTCCCTCCTGCTGCTATGCCGAGTAATGCATGCTCCCTCCCGTGGCGTACGGTGCGGCTGTTGACAATTTGTCCACTTCCGCGTTCAAAAACAATTCCTTCTCAAATTTAGCTGTAATTTGAGGATGTGAATGGAATGAATCGTTACGGACAGCTCCTTATGTGAAAACCGAGGACGTAAGTGAGGTGACCCAAAGGTCATCTCGACGAGCAAGAATCATTATCGACGGAATCTTCTGTGGTCACACTTGCAAAATATTTCAAGCCAGCCGCGAAATTTTCAGTTTTCTGCTGAATCATATATCGCTGAAGAGGGAGCGAACCTGATGTCTCAATACGTTGAAGAAGCTGCAAACATAAACCAGGCACATCCCAGAAGGGAGCCTCTTAATCTGTTATCACAGTTGTGGAATTTATCAAGGGCGGCATATCACCCTACCGTGCAGGCTTCAGGCAAGCTTCTTAACCTACCTCTGCGCTGGTAAAGAGGTGAAGCTCAGGGGCCTGGCATTGAACTTGCCTGAGTAGCTCGTGACATACCTAGCAGCCATTTGTCGCTCTAGAAGCTACTACAGCAAACGGGGCCTAGACGGCGGATTCTTCTAAAACTTGAATGGGAACAGCAAATGTCTACAGGAGGCCTCCTTCCTGATCATCACGGAGCGTATGGTGCGGACCCATATTATCAAGATGCAGAAGACATAGATACATTCACGCCGCAAGAGGTTCTGCAAGCTACGAGGCTCATTAGACTGCTGAAGCAGTCCATTTGGAATAGTCAGTCTCGGCAGCCGCCTCGACAACACAAGTAAGCGATGTCACGATTCCACCCATTCCAGCTCAAGCATCCTTCATTAACTCGTGCTGCTGAGAATCGAAATGTGAGGTAGAAGACGAAACCGGGAGCAAACGTCATATCGTATTTGTGGTGGCGGCGCTGAGGGCGACGGCCTGCCTAGCCCTGATCTGAAAGTTCAGTGCTCTGGGTGGAGTGAACAGACCAAATGAGGCAAGCCTACCAGCGGAAAAGGCTTTCTTTGGGCCCAATGGTGAGCTAAGCCTCCCTTGTCTGTAGAGTCCCTGTGTTGGCTTACGGTAGGGGCCTAACTGGTCACTAAGTGTAAAATGCAGTGCAGCAATTCCGTTCGCCGTTTTTCCTAAACAGAAATGGACGCGCATCCACGTCTTAACGGCCGCCTTGAAAAATCTCCAAAGAGAGGGGACGCTTTCGGCTGGTCCCAGGACTTGCAGCTCCCAGCATCATGGGAACAAGGACAGTTCGAAGCGCTGATAGCTGGCATGAAGGCAGTAGATGGAGCTAGTGGAGCTCTGCGGCATGCAAACAACACCGTCGCTCGCGTGTCCAGCCCGCGCACGCATGGCCAGATGACGCCTTACAGGGAGCAAAGCTTAGGTACTAAGCAGCCGTCAGACAGTCTAGGGATAGCAGCGGGGACTAGGCTCGGCATGAATATCTCCAAGGAAGCAACACATGCGGTGGCTAGCTATCCACAACCACGCAACGGGGCCGGCGAGGTTGCGGATTTCTCGGCAAGCCGTGGTACGTTCGAGCAACCCATGCCTCAGAGAACCCCTTCAGCCGAAAAGCTTCTTGCGGGGAGTCAAGGAAGCCTGGGTGCAACTCTCCCTGTTCAAGCGAACGGTGGTGACGAGCCTCAAGAAATACAGGAAGTCGGCAAGAATATATCAACTCGGCTTGAGCCTGTCTATCGCTTTCTTTTATGCGCTCTCTTTAGTCAGAGCAGTATGTTTGCCGTAAAATTGTGGTACCGAAAGGTCTACAAGCCTACCATTGTGCGAATGCAAGTGCTCGCTCCTTACGGTCCCGTGCGGCTGTACGATTTGCTTCAGTGCCCTTACTGTCACCGCACGTTTACCGGCAAGTCCTTTGAAAAGCATGTAAACGTTTGTGTAAAGGCAAGTCCGCGGTCTCAAATACCCTTCCGTCCACACGAGACAACTTACGCAACGACTTGGCCTTTGTTGCGGACAACAAACCGGAAGTGCACAGGAAGGAGCAAGACAGCACACAGTCACACGCTGCTCCTTTTGCTAGTCTGCTTTATATGAAAAGGTATTCTTCACGCGACGGAAACAGTACGATATGACGCGGAAACGTCTGGCAAACGTAATGGAGGAGACAGGACTACCTGTATACTCAACCTTGCAGAAGCTTCGAGGAGCCATGTCATCAAAACCGTAGGCTTCAGACGGGAGCCCACAACTAGAGCATATTCACTTTTACGCAAATGGTCCTGCGACAATTCACTTCCCTCTTATGTGCCTGTCTTGATCCACACTCTCACCGTCCTGCGGCTCAGGTTAGAAAGGCCAACAGAGAAGAAATGGCAACGCGAGGTGGGCGCAAAGTGGCTGAAAAAGCTAGATATGTCATTCTTCCACTTTTACTAAGGATAAGGCCACGGCCAGGAATTGCACCAGGTGCATGCTGTGCAGAACTTCCTCGGCCTGCATCTGCATGTACTGAACAGAGTGCGCAATTTCGAGCGGCGATGAGGATGGCAAGAGCGTGTGATCCGAGGGAGATAGCAGAAGCTCAGGCAAGTCCTCAAGCGGACAATGACAAACACATTCTTGATAAAGTTCTTTTGCAGAAGGTTGTCACGGAAATTTTTGCATTATTTTTCTTGCCCATTATTTTGGCTGGCTGCAGGCTATATTCGCCAAGTGTAGTGATATGGGAGCCAATAAACAGTGTCAACACTGTGGGCGGACCTTCGGCCGTGATGAAGCCTTAGAAAAGCACGAAGGCGTGTGCCAGCGAATGTTTAAAAATGGTGGGGGGGTCCTCAGAAAAGGCGGTGGTCTTTGTGCAGCACAAGGTGCTGCTTGCCGCGTGATGCGGAATGCTGTACTAAAGAAGAGAGGGCAAAGCTGCATGGACTTTCCTGCACCAAGGCGAAACATTGATCCGTCCAGCTGGGGCTATCAACAGCGAAGTACTTCGCATAATAGCGGCGCATTTACATCTCACCCTTCCTTGATGGCAAATGGCAAAAAGAATAATGCCCACAGACTAAAGCATCACAGTTAGCCACGCCGATTCTGGTGTTGTTTTCGTCAACTTGGTGCTAGCTGCAGAGCACCTGTTTGTGAGGCTTTTGCCAGGAAGAGCTGAGGCGGCTTGTGGGAATACAGCGTTACGTCATATGCAACGTCGCCTAGACAATGTACAAATCTCGATCACGGGGAACTGACCGTAGGCGTGCTATATTTGTCCCCAAGGCGCCCAAAACCTTGAACAGTTAAAGTGACCTTTGTTGTGAACAGCTTAGTGAGATTGTGGAGCCTGTGCCAGCACAGGCAGGTACCAGCAATTAATGAACCATTCGACAGCTTGGTGCCGACTTGCTTTAGGAGTTATTATAGCAGCTACTATAGGAACACCTGCATTAAATTTGCAGGTTTGTGCATGTGGTCGAACTTTTCTCAGCTATGCTTGATTCATCGCTTGCGCAGTTGTTCGGAATCGTTCATTTGACTTAACCGGGCAGACGGCGGTGGATTTTGCTTCGGCAATGGCTTGTTTGCTGGATAGTGTTGCTGTGCTTTATGCACGTGATTTGCTTCAGCGGCTAGTGTGATATCTCACGCTGCTGCATACGCATGACGCCCGCAGTTCCCTCGGGTAACAGCAGTTTTGCTTCTCGGTTGCTTTGCAATAATCGCTTCTGCAAGCCTGTCATAATCCTGATAGCTTGCTGATGGTTTCTACTTTCTCCTGGACCTCCACACCCTCAAGAAGCACCGCAAGGACCTCACACTGGAGCTCCACTTTTCTCCAGCCTTATGCTTAGCTTTAGTCAGCCTTGTGCTATGATATTAATGCGTTGTCCGAAAGTGGAGATTATTGGGTAACGGGTCTTTTCTAGCAAGATGTGCTGTTTGTGATATATCAAGGAAGGAGGTGCGGCAGCTGATGAGAGCTCGCATGCGTTGGGATAAACGTTCAAGCATGAACTTGTTGAGCTGAGGAAGGCGCTTCTGCGTGCGGCTTTGTTAAGTGTTTCAGCTGCTGGGCAAAAGAGGTTCGGGAGTGGCCTGCAGAAAGTGGTAGCACGCTGAAACGCCACAAAGTCTGGCTCCTTTGGTAGAAGGGCCAACAGTCCAGTGACACATAGCCACTAGCCGGCCTGCAGGCACTGTTCTTGTCTAAAAGAAATGTGTTTGAGTGGGGCACTGATGGACTTTTGATTTTGATGGCTCACAGCGCCGGGCTAACCAGGCAGTGTCTCGTGTAATTTAGGACTGTGATAGGCGGTCTACGACCGAAGTCTTACCGTCTACAAGGTCTGTGCATGCCTTATGGCGAAGAAAACAGCGAATGCCGTAGTCCCCAAATGGCCTTATTTGTACGAAATTATACAGTTGGCCATTGAGTTGCAGAGGGAATCCGGCTGTGTTGCAGTATTCTCGTATGTTGTTGCTTGGGCGGGTTGACGTAACCCCAAGGTGTCCTCGTTTGTTCACTACTTCAGAGGTCGCCTCTTTCTGCCTCCCCACTCTGCTGAGACAGCTTGCCGCGACTCTCAGGTGACTACCTTTTAAAGAGAAACACAAATATTTCCATAATGCTGCTTGTGCCTCAGTGCAGCGGCCCTTACGGGATACTACTGCGCAACTGTGCACAACATTATGCTTCAGTACTTTCTCTCCACTTGTAATTTACTGCAGCAAATCGCTCCATTTTGCGTAGAAGCTAAGTAAATTTCCCCTTTATTTGCAATTTGCTGCAGCAAATTGTCGGGTTTGGTTTAAGTCCGTTACAAAAGAAAGTTCATATCGGAATGACATTTCGCATTTGCTACACACGAAGTTGTGCTGACCACATCTCATTTACTGGAATAGGGCACAGTTTCGAATTCAACTTAAGGCATCATTCGTAACTTTTAGAGTTTCCCCTCAAAAACAAGAGGAAATGCCTGCAGGGAACAAAGGTGACCAGCGAAGGCTCTTGAAACATTTTTTCTTTGCAGTTTCGTTATACATTGAAGCTGCCGAAGCACTACTACACTCCTTCGTGGGCTGCTACTGACCTTCAAGCTTCAATGGAGCTCTCTCAAAGAGACCCAGTCTTATAAAACGATTTGTTAGCAGCTTCTCCGTAGAAGGTGCCTTCGCAGCTATGGTTGGATAGGCAGATGAATGAGTTTGATTGAGCAAATTGCTTGCTTGGTGACAGCTCCAAAAATGAGCAGGATTCAAATACGCCAGATTCGTGGAAAAAACATCCTGCACTTTCGAAAAAGTGCATGGTTTTGAAAGCATAAGCATCAAGCTATCTTGCATGGACCATCCACCGCTCTCCACCGTCACTAATGTGCGTTTCATCGAGTCGTGCTCCTCTTCCCCAACTTCCCCAAGAATCATAACCGTAATTGTGCCAATTTCTTGTTCTGACAGGGCTTTTGAAGTCTATTCACAACGAACTAGCTCGGAAAGCTCTTACATGCAGGCATTAACGGTCAGAGGCACTGTGCTCAAGGCTGGAAAATGCGCTTTTCTTTTTAAAAACTCCTGCGATATACAGACGATATACAGTCGTTCTGTGCCTCTATATTATGCTAAAATGATTTAACACGTAGAAGGAAACCACAGAACGGACGTGCGTGTCGGCCGCAGCGCCGACACACCAGGGCCCAGCTCTGCGGCGGCGAATCCAACAGGCCGCAACACTCTCTACTACCTTGGGGGCATCATGAATCACAACCACACGCAATAATGCGAATTTTCAAAGGTCTCTCTAGTTGTCATCTTCCCCGTCTGAGTGCTCCGCACCTTCCAGTGTCAGTTGGATCGTCCTGGGTACGTTGCTATTGTTGGTTCCATACCTTATGTATAACGCGGCAGCGGACATTATAAAGTAAATAATATACTTGAAAGTAATTGCTGAGCATTAATAATAATGTTTTGCTGTGCTCAGACTAGAGCCATTTCCCCATACCCCACACTTTGGCTTGCTGCGGCGCAACAGAGTAAGGTGAACATTGTGACGTGTTAGTGTCTGAGTAGTCGTATTTTTCTTCGTTTGTCTACGAAATACGTGGGCTCAGAAAGGTATAGTTTTGCCTCCAGATACAACAGACCGGCTGAAAGTGCTCGGGCGATTTAACGCGTAGACCACCGAGAGATATACCTAGCACAAGAAAACAGAGGTTTACTCATTTTCGGAGACATATACGTGCTTCTTGTCAGTTGCTTTTTCTACTGTGACGAAAGGAGCTTTTCTGAAGATGGCACCCACAACGTTGTCGTATCCTCATGCGCGTCGAGGGCCTGATGTGGAAGATCATTTCGGCACTCGCGTTGCAGACCCCTATCGGTGTGTGTGGCAATCGCATCACCCTATATATGTTTATACGGTAGTGGATCTTCCCCAGAAACTCCAAGCTTGCTTGGCATCCATTCTAGAATGAGAGGAAGAGACTGCACTTTTTTGGCTGAAGAATAGAAAGCCTCCAAGGACTGGTAATTCTGTTGTGGAGCTGAGTTGTCGGTCGCAGGTGGCTTGAGGACCCTGAGAGTGAGGAGACGAAGGCTTTTGTTGCGTCTGAAAATGAAATATCCGAGAAGTACTTGAATACGCCTGTGCGAGGCCAGATTTTAATGGCTCTTAAGAAGTTCCAAGACTACCCCAAGTAAATAAGACGGCTTTAGCTCACTGCGTGGAACATGCTTGTAAAAACACTATGTGCAGGGACGTTACCTTCTAATTATTATGAATTTGGCCCGACTCCTGTTATTGTGTAGGTTTGGGACCCCTTTTAAGGGCGGAGATTTTTGGTATAGTTGGAGGAACTCTGGTCTGCAAAATCAATCGGTGCTCCACAGACACAAAGACAGACAAGGAGAAGAGAGCGAAGTGTTCCTCGACCCAAATACCTGGACTGAAGATGGCACGGCAACTGTGGGTATGCCATGTCCCATTTTCCCACCATCTCGCAAATGTGTATTTTGGCAACTGCGTTAAAACAATTAATCGTGCAGACATCGCTGCCTAGGATTTGGTGAAGAGATCAAGTAGTCCCCACACAACACCCGCCGTTCTCCTGGTAATGCGCGGGACAGGCTCATACAAGTTCACCGATGACGGAAGTATGATGGCGTTTGCTCGTGGAGATAAGGGGAGTGATTGGCGCACGATTTACATCATGGATGTCGCAAGTGGACGCCTCTTAGATGACCGTCTGCATCACGCAAAGTGAGCAACTGGAGGCGTCGGAATCAAGTTCTACTCCAAAAGGGCAACTGTGCAGAGGTTACTACTTTGTAGTGAACGGTGTTTCGTTTGGACGTTTTCTGAATAGGTGAGCACACCTATTCTTTCTGAACTTAACATATGCTGCTTGTGACTGATATGCATATTGCTCTAGGTTCACAAGTTTGCAGTGGGTTGGCAACACGCGCCTGTTTTACAACCGTTACGATGTACCAGAGGGCGCAGACGTGAATGGAATGGAGAATACAAAAAATGAGTTCCAAAAGGTAAAAAGGGTCCACTGGAGAAGTCGTAGTTTCTGAATTGGTGGTTGAGGGCCCCCACAGTCCTTTGGCAATTTTTTGAGTGGACTGGCAAGCACGGCCAATGTAATACTTATTCTGGGCTTGATGTGTGCGACCTTTCCTTTTTGCTGGGTGTCCTCCAGCTTTATTGCCACGAAGTGGGAACTCCACAGGCTCAGGATATACTGGTGCTGGGATTCCCGTCTGAACCCAAATGGATGGCCAGCGCGACAGTGACAGACGATGAAAAGTTCATCGTCGCAGGCATTTCACGAAGCTGCGAGCCTGTGAGTCTGATGTGACAGAGGCCGAGATGAAGTATTTTTACGATGCGTGAAGTATGCTTCGGAAAGAAAGACGATTCCTTCCCTACTCCCTTGGGACGCTCAAGTTGCGTACTTTGTTTGGCGCTTACGTTTCGCCCTCTGTTTACTATGTCCAGACCAACAAACTATGGATTGCCACTCTTCCCTCCATCGATGAGCCCACGGAGGCGTACGCACATTTGAAGTGGGTGAAGATCGCCGACAC